GTCTGTTAATTACAAGTGATACAAAACTATATAGTATTAAATGATGGCTGTCGGAGACGTAGTGTTGAGGTTGCAAGGATTCGTTCTCGTCTGTTAATTACACGTGATACAAAACTATACAGTATTGAATGATGGCTGTCATAAGTGCAGTTCTAAGATTTTCATATATTTGTTCTCGCCCGTTAATAACAAGTTATACAAAACTATATAGTATTAAATGATGGCTCTCGGATGTGTAGTGTTCAGAATGCAATGATTTGTTCTCGTCTGTTAATTAATGACAAGTTATACAAAACTATATATTATTGAATGATGGCTGCTAGAAGTGTACATCTTTAAATATGCATGTCTTCCACAAAGAAGAAAACAGAAAAAATAAGATAAATTTTCAAACTATAGAACTACCGTCATAATAACTCATTCTATGATATATATTGACTAAGGAAACGTCATATATCTAAAAATGGAAGTCTAAGTAAAATTACACCTTCAACTGAACTGACAAGGTAACCAATATCAAACTTACGTTTACACTGAATAATTAGCTTAACCTGTAGGTGATTTTTTTTCTTGGGTTTATTGTACATGGCCGAATCTTTGAAAAAAAACACTTTGTTTTTGATTAATTTTGATATCATATGTAATTGAATGTGTCAGTTTAAGAGTGTGAATTGATGATAAGCTATTCTAATATGTTACACTCTTAGGATTGCCTTCAAAGTGAAGAAATCATTTAAAACATTTTAGTAAAAAGCATTCCCTAGACTACTCGTTTGTAGATAATATAAGAAAATTGCTTTTCTTGTTCGTTCAGTTTCTGGGTTTGCAGAATCGAATAGTTTTATACGCATCACTTAGTTTGTTCCTCTGAAAATTATATTTAGTTACTTTAACTTTAGGTCCGCCAAATCCCCTCCAAAACTGCTCTGTTCTCAATCAAACTGAAAAACAGATTACGGTTGAATGTCTTCAGGAATACGACGAAGAAAATGCCCAACAATTCTCGTTGGAAGTCTACTCAGTGGAAGACAACAGGCTTCAAGCTAATCTAACTTCGAAGTTTCCACGATTCCAGATTCGTGATCTACCCGAAGGAACACAGTTTAGGCTGTTTGTATACGCATGGAACGCAAAGGGAAAGAGCGACGTAGTGGTAATTTCAGCCCATACCCATAAACCGGCTGATAAGCTTACTGACAACGGTAATGAATGTAAATTTTGTGATTTGCAAGAAGGTTGGAAATAATTTCAAATCCTTTACGTTCAATAAGAATAATATACTTTTGTTTATTGTAGACGAGGAAGTTTGTTCGAAATATGAGTTAATTCGTTTTAAAAAAACAATGAAAAGAAAGGAAGTATGAAGCAATTTTTAATTTTTACCCATAATTCATTACTTACTAAACTAAATAGTAGGGTGAGGGCTTCGAAACTGGTTTATTTTGAAGTGGCAAAGTAACTATTTACTACAAAAACTTTTCTTCCCCTTCCACCTAGTGGCTTAGCGGTAAGTCTGAAGAATTATATTGCTAAAAACCGGGTTTCTATACAGCATAGAGAGCCCATTATGTAGCTTCATAATAAACAAACAGGATACTTTTCTTCTATGTTATCATCCTGTACACATTATCAGCACGTAGAGCTCGTAGCAGTAAAGATTAGAATCACACTGTATGTGAACTATATTCCAGGTCCGGTGCTGTTATTATTGAACGTGCTTAGTCTGATGACCATTATTTATCATTGCCTAACTCTACAATTTTGCGGAATGATTCAGACGAGATGTTAGTATCATTAATAGACTATTATTCTCGTCTTTATTACGAGTATTATTATCTTCACAACGTTTCGAACAGTGAATTCTCACTCGGCTGTCGTCAGTTGTAATATCAGAATTTTTTTTTCTCTATATTCATGAGTCACAACGAGAAAACTTTTGTGGAATTACCAGGATTCGAACCCTCGAACTTGTGAACCTGAACATAGATATTCTAACCACTTAGTTAAAAAGTTGTTTCAAATGAGATTCAGGTGCTAAGCTAATTTAGAATATTGTATCTATTACGTAGAAACAATTATAATAACAAAAAATTAGTCTAAACATTGTAAAGTTTAGCTATTTTTTTAGTGACTCAAACCTTAGAAATATCATCCATTCCTTCACATCACAATTTTTTACGATATGTAATTTTAAACATTTAATCAAATACAGATTTAGTTTTCACTTTTGAAACGCCCACTTTTAGTAAACGATTCTGAAATGAAATATATAAATACGCTTTATCATTGATCATTGTGTAGATTTCCTTCATAATTGTTTGCCCAACAATGAGTCAGCGGTAAGTTCGAGGACTTGCAATGCTACAAAAAATAGCGTATTGTGTAGCGTTGTGATAAAAAAAAATATATATCATAAAATACACTTCTAAATACACTGCTGCGAACTATTAAAACTATGTGTAGTTTCTAAATATAATAAACAAGTGTGTGAAGAAAAACTTTAAAGTTCTGAATAAAGAACATAGTGTTAAAAATATAATAGGCTTAAAACAAATGTCTTATTGCGAGTATATTTAAAGTGAAACTGTGTTTGAAACAGTATATTTCAACCGTTGTGCATGAATAACTTAGATAGAGAAGAAGAGGATATGATGTTTGACTGAATAAAGAACATAGTGTTAAAAATATGATAGGGGATAACACAAATATCTTATGGATTGCGTAGTTAATTGAAATAAGTCGCCTCGAGCTTAAAAAAGTGTTTACTCCATAAGAACAGTTTCTCTTTTTTAATCCCAATTGCATACATAGATGTATTCATTTTTCACTGGTACGTATCTCTTTTATTATAAGAATAATCATATATATATATTTCTGGAAGTGTCTGAAGATTTTTGTTTAATCTCAAATAGCAAAAAAACATTCTTTATTACTCATGTTATTATTTATTTATTTTAATACAACTGGCTTATGTTGTTAGCCGTATAACTTTGTATTCTATAAATTATTTATTTTGATAATTTACTTTATAGTGAAAGCAAAGTTATGTTATAATAAGTGAGTGCTTAATCCTGTTTGAATATCTCAGTATAATATAAAAGCTTTAAAAATATAAGAGCATATGGTTGTACACAACCCCAAAGTGAAACATTAAAGTTTATTATAGTAAATAAATAAAAATAACTCATTAAATTTATACTAATTTTAAGCAGAAAAGACTTATTTATATAGGTCGTGGTTATAAAATGTTAGATAAATCTTTGATTTTATATTGTATCTTATTTTTTCGTTTAATTTGGCTTAGGAAATACAGAAGAAGAGGTCGTTATTCGACCCCTGTTGATTGCTCTCATTGGTGTTGTAGCTGTTCTTGTTGTAGTAGCTGTTGTTATTGTCATACTTAAAAAGTATAGAAAAAGACGCGAAAGAAAAGGTGAGTTTGTGGTTTTCATATACCAGGAATATGATGTAAATTATGTTGTTGTAACACTCATAACTTAGGAACACACTTGTATATTTGATGCTCATAATTGCGATTTATTGTAGCGAGGTTAAGAGAAAGCTATAGGACAAAATTTAAAAGAGTGTTTCTTTATCAACGAAATAAGACAATATCAAACTATATACAGCAAATTATATATATTCGTTGTTTCGGTTTGAATGGACGGCATAAGACAGCATAAGTTTTGATACCATATTTTGCTTTTCTTTTTAAGTGTATTTATCTTTCAAAGAAATAATGTTAGCACAATAATGATGAACATTGTACACTGAGTCAATGAACATACATCAGTATGATTTTTGTCATTTAATACATTGTGCGAGGAAGTTGGTTAATACATTAATTTTAATGGTCTTTATTGTAAATATTGTAATTTTATTTATAATCAGATATTTAAAGTCACAGTAAGTATATTAATATTTGCATTATTATATTCTCATTACAGAGATTATTTTGCACTGTTAACGTAGGGAATGGATATCTGAATAATTTAAATCTTCTTAATTGGTCGAACCTCGTGAGATATTGTTGGTTCTATTGCCAGAAATACCATTAACAACAAGGGTTCCAAACTAATGAAAAATGCATTCTAATCTTTACAAGAGAAAACATAAAAACAGCATATTTAATTAACTATGTAGCTTATTCTGATAAGAAATAAATATAAATTATTCTATTACTGAAAGTCTGTGGGCTTATAAATTCAACTTTTTTTCAGAAAATTAAACTTATTAAAGTCACTCAGTAAAGATAAATATACAGTCTCTTCCTAGTATAATTAGAATCCATTTATAAATTAACCAAGTGGGAAAAATCAATGTTCTTTCGCCATATATATTCTTTTTCATATCATATACTTTGAAATGATGTGTTTCTGAGCTAACAGTAAAAAGCAGTTGAAAAAAAAAACAGGACAAAAAACTCATTTTTTCTGCTTATACGTCGTGCGTTCTAGCATTTACATTTAAGTTTTCATTCTTTCAATCTAAAACGAAAATATACCTTCATTTCTGCTTTATTTTTTTCGTTGCAAGCTGGCCAAAGTAGAAGATCTCTCCCTGATAAGTAAGTTTTTATGTGTTATGTTTAATGTTCGAAACATTAAAATAGAATCAGCCCTTTGATACACTATTCACTTCAAAATTATTTGTTTTTTATTTTATCTGAATAACTAGATGAAATGAAACAACGAGATAATTAAATATTCCAGCATTTTACATAATCCAATAAAAGGGAACGTGATCAAATTAAGTGTTTACTTGTGAGTACAGCTAGTAACATAAAATTTTTCTTGCATAAATGCTACAAGTTATGAAAACACTTTATGTTAGTAAAACAACGTATATGTTATCCGAAATTTAACGACAGTTGAAACAATACTTCCAAAATTGTTAGTAAAAAATATTTATTTAGTATTATGAAATAATTTTATAGTGTTTTATTTATTCTGCTAAATATAACTTGTATAACCAAAACTAATGCTAGAACACATTAAACCCGGAATTTCCAGTAACACAATTATTATGGGTTTGTGTCTTTGTGTTAGGATTTTGCGAAAAGCTACAAAAGGTCTGCCTGTACATAACCGTCCTTAAGTTTGAGCTGATAGCTTAGAGAGAGAAAGCAGCTAATGAAAAGCACCGTCCGCCAACTTTTGAGCCTTACTCTTAACTGACCGAATAGTGGAATTAGATCATCACTGTCATATCGCACACTCTGTCACATGGAATGTGTTTTGGTGGCAATTTGACTCGAACCTGAACAAATGGATTTACAGTCCGAGTTCACTAGCCACTAGACCAATCCAAACCCAACTGGTTGAATAACCTTAGAGTCTTGCGAAATCCAACGATAAAAACCCACAAAGTGAAATTGAGACTTGTGGCCTACTCCATGTGCATCATTATAAGGATCACGACTTTGAATCCCGACAGGCCTCCCACTTTTTCATGTCCAAAATAATACAAAGTACTTAATACTTATTACTGCTGTTGGCTTGGCTGATTTTCTTATATTACGTAAAATTATCTATTGTTAAGTAATATCTTCGATTTTATACAAACTGTAAACTGGATTTTTACAAGATTAACCAGTGTTCTAAATAACACTCACTATGTAATTTCCTGGAAGAGTACTGAAAGCTATTCTTTCAGCCAACATCATTAATAAGCTATTTTATAATATTGCAGTTAAAGAACAGATTCATTCAGAGTAGATGCATCTTTAAAGATCTTTTTTTTTCAAATAAGATCACAGTTATCTTTACTAAAACTACAAGTACTGAGGCAATTAGTAGTGATAATGAACTTCTTATGCAATCTTTTTTCTTTACCTAAAATAGCTTACACATGTTTATAAGCTCGAAATAAATCTCTTTCCATCAGTTGTGAGACATAATGTTATTATTCGTTTCTGACATCTATTAGTTAAATTTTGTGGATATTTATTGTTTATTTTCAGGTCTCAAACTCCTTTGTGGAAGGACGTGAGTGATTTAAGTGAGCTAGATGATAAAGGACCTGATATAATTCCGGCACAAACACTCAGTAGGTCAAACTATGGAGGTAATAAAGAATTTTTTCACGATATTAAAGAAAATCTCTACACTAGTAAATAGTGCTACGTTTACAACAAAAATATTACAAAAGTTAACACAATATTAAAGAAAATATCTACACGAGTAAATACTGCTACGTTTACAACAAAAATATTACAAAAGTTAACACGATATTAAAGAAAATCTCTACACGAGTAAATAGTGCTACGTTTACAACAAAAATATTACAAAAGTTAACACAATATTAAAGAAAATATCTACACGAGTAAATACTGCTACGTTTACAACAAAAATATTACACAAAGTTAAATTATACACGTAAGCCTACAATACCTTCTATTTTTATTTTATTAGAACATAACCCAGTCGACAGTTGTTTCAAATAAGTTAAACAGCACTTGTACACGTGTGAAATTTTAAAAATAAAGATATTGTTAACTAGTCTCACAATAAATAAGATTTATCAAAAAACAGGGCACAGCCCTAAAAATCTCACAAGTTTGGATGGAGCTATTTAATGTTGTTTATATTTTTAATATCTGACAGTCATTTTGTCGTTGTTCTCTGACATTAGTAACATTTATTTCGCTTTGGAAGTTTTCTCGTGTTTTCGTTTTATTTTGATTTTTGAAATGAGCTTCATTCCCAGCAACTCGGCGTCTGCCATTTCATTTCGTTTAGCAGATAATTTCAGTTTGTCGTTAAGAAAACTTGGTGTGGTTTATTGACGTAATACGTAGCTCGAATAACTCACAATTTTTAAAACCATCTCTAAGATTAACTAAAATATCTACACATTCTTAACATTCTTAAACAAATAATAAAATGTGGCCGAAATAAAAAAGAATTTAGTTAAAACAAGAATTTTTGAAGTAACACGAGAAAGTGTATATAAAGTTGTGTTTTTGTAATAAAGAATTTTTTTTTCAAAGTCTAAACGTATCTGGAAATTTAAGCCATTAAGGTAGGACTAAATAAGCTATATGCGAGATATAATATAAAGTATCTTGCTTGATATATTTAAATGAATACAAAACGTGAATTAATAAAAAATACATTTTACAAAATATGTATTTGTATGAAATGTAGAATTCGTGCAGGTTATTTTTGTTTCTAAAATACCAGAGAATACGTGAAAAATAAATGGTTATGTTCGTTTAATGTGGTTATTTTAATAAGTCTATATTTTTGTTCGGTATATTAAATCTATAAGCTATTAAATATAATAGTACTTGGCTAATGCAGTCAATAATGCTAACGATACGAATTGATGTTGCATCTGAAATATTTAAACCAAATCATCTTTAATATTCCAAAATAAATGTCAAGTTCTTACTGTAGCGAATAACTCTCTCTTTTCAATAACATTATACGTAAAGCTATTGGAACTTTTTGGTTATATTTGAAACAATAAATACCATATTTTAATGTTTATTTACTGAGGGACTTGTAAATCTCACACAAACACTGTTGAAATTAGTTAAAAAAAACAACACTTTGTTTACTGGAGCTGCTTATACGCTGATATTGACTATATAGTAAAAATAGTTACGTAAGAAAACAGTGTTGTGTTCAATAACAAATGTACTTCTAGGAATACAATAACAATCTCTCTGGAGTCAAAAGTGGAGTGTGTAATGTCGTATAGCAAAAAGATGGCTGGATAAATACCTTTAAATTTTGTAGCATACTGTTTATAAAATTAAATATTTCCTAGTGTGGGATTTTTTTTGCATCTTATAAGTTAAAGAGCAAAATGAAACCGATAGAAAGAGTGATCTTGTATGTTATTGTCAAAGAGTAAACATTTAAAACTACGCGGCTTTTTACCGTAACTAATAAATTTCTCTCGAAATCTCCTTGTCATTCTCTTTACATATAATATGGTAACTTTTGATCTGATCAGAGTAGATAAACCTAGAAAATATCCATATCATAATAATTAAAATACGGATATAGCCTGGTTGAGTATGTAAATTAATTCAAGATAACGCAGTCGCAATAATTTAGCAATTGAATCTAGAGCTTTCAGTAATCTTAGTCTAGCATTTAATTCAGACTATTCCATAGTTTAATCTATCTTTATGATGCAAAAATATTTTAAAATTCCTTAATCCAGTACCCAAGTCATGTGGTGTGTTTTCATCTTTTTTTTTTCTATATAGTTCAAGCGATCTCACAGCTCCAGACATTTATATTCATATTGGATGCAGGGCAACTATTTTATAACGAGTTCACTATAAATTGATGAAATATTTTTTTCTATATAAAAATTACAAAGTTTTCAATGCCTTGATCTATGTCGAAGATATATCCTATCGCCTTACTGGAATTTTCAATCTTAGTTGAAACTGTCTTCGTATGCATTTCAGAGTTTGCTTTTATAATGGGTGAAGACGACGAAAGAAGAAAGAAATCCATAAGTTTAATTAGCCCCATGGAGATCTTCTATGGAAGCTCGTCTCTGTTAGAAGGAACTTCTTTATCGAAAGAAGCTTGTCACAGCATTTCTTCTCCAATAGAGAGTGTATCTGTTCAGCCCCTTGTACTACTGAAAAAAGTAAGATTATTTTTTACTTTATTTATCGGTTCTCGATTTAAAAGAAATTTAAGAGTTCAACCAGGAAATTTATTCTGGTTGAAGTTTCTTATTCCTAATGAAATTGCGGAATTTTGAGATATAATTATGTGGAATAGTAAATTATCCGAGAATTAGCTCAACTTTATTTATTTTTTATACAAGGAACATTGCCGTATTTCATTAAATTCACTATCTTTAATTTCGCCAAATACAGAGCCAAAAAACTAAATATCATGTCAATAATTTTAAACTAAATAACAATAAAGTACAATAAAATATTAATATATTAATAAATTACAATTAATTTTTAAGCAAAAGAGAAATGAAATTACATTTCCTTAGTATTTTGTTAACACAAAATTAAATTTAGTTTTTAATTTTTATCCGAAACATATATTACAAACAAGAAATAGCAAAGCATAAACTATTTATTCCAGAATCGAGCAAATCTCAAAATAATGCCTAAACGAATTAATAACAGGTGCGTCTTACTCAATCTGCTGCATAATCCCACTCAAGGACTATCCGCTCTAGCTGTACCTACCTTTGAACTGAAAGACTAGTGGGAAGACAGCTAGCTAGTCAACAATACCCACCCGTCAGCTCTTGGTCTATTCTTGTGTGACTTAACAGTATGATATGGCCGCTACTCTTAAAGCTCACACACACGGACCTAAATTGCGGAGCGCTTTTCTCGCGATCCATTAAGCCCCCGATTCAGAGTTCTGGCTTGCCAATTATTGTGCTACGCCCAGCCGTAGATAAGCAAGTCTCATTTTTATTTCATAAAGAGTACAAAATTGTATTTTTTATTTCGATATTATTTCTCATTGGATATATATTTAGTGTTTGTGTGTGTGTGTGTGTATTAGTTATAGCGATAAACATACTTAAAATGTTAACCGATTATAGAGAATATGATAATTGTTAACCGATTTCATTGCATATAGTTATTAAAATTTTATGTGTAAGTTTTGCCTGTTTTCTGACAGTATGATAATGGAGTTAAGTGTAAAACAACTATTGGGTTTCAGGAGCTACGTATGGTTAAGGGGAGTTAAGATAACCGTTGGTCAGTTTCGGAGAAGTATGGATATTTACATATAATCGTTGTTTAGTTTCAGACATCGTAGTTATGAATTGTCAAGCATAAAGTGATTCTCTGATGTCAGGCGATATGGTAATAAAGATTTAAGGTAACGATTGACGGTTTCAGAGCGTTATCGAAATTTATATGTAATGGTTTTCCAATATAAATGGTATAATTAAGTATAAAATAATAATCCAGTTTCATACAGTACGGCTATGGAGAGTTAAGACGTTGCTTGAAAGTCTTCAAAGAATTATGGAGTTTTAGGATGATTGTTGCCATATTCCGAGCGGTAAAATTTGGATAGTTAAATATAAAACGATTCTCTAGTCGACATAGTACTTAAAATTATTAGCCCCATCCAGTAAGATCAGTATTCGTTTAATTTTTTTTTAATTCCCATTCAACATATAAAAATGTAAACAAATTGTTGTTTTTGGTTTTTCAAAACAGGAAACAGTTAATTAATTCTTATTCAAAATGTCATAAAACTCTTACTTTTATAATTGCTCTTAAATGCCGAATTTTCATTATAAGTAGCGTTTGGAATTTTATATTTGTTTGTTTTGAATTTCGCGCAAAGCTACACGAGGACTATCTGCGCTAGCCGTCCCTAACTAGGGGAAAGGCAGCTAGTCCTCACCACCCACCACCAACTCTTGGGCTACTCTTTTACCAACGAATAGTGGGATTGACCGTCACATTATAACGCCCCCACGGCTGAAAGGGCGAGCATGTTTGGTGGGACGAGGATTGGAACCTGCGACCCGCAGATAGCGAGTCGAGCGCCCTAACCACCTGGCCATGCCGGGCGACGAGTTTTATGTTATGTGGCATTATATATGTTACAAAAGTGTATTCTGAGGTACATCACCAAAATGTTTACCACTATATGACTCGGAATGGAAAGCTCCCTGGTGGCTCAGCGGCAAATCATTGGTCTTATGAGGCTAAAAATCGTGTTTAGATTTCCGCGTAGATGAGCAGAGCACATATAGTCTGTTATGTAGCCTTATGCTTTACAATGAATAAACAAACAAGCAGAATAAAAATATAAAACATCCAGTAAAATATAGAAACTTAAACCACCATAGAGCGTTAGTAATATTTTCATATCTTTGTAGATATACATCTTTATATATATATATATATATATATATATAA